GTCGACACTTCCCAATTTTCCAGGATGTCACACTGTAAAACAAACAGCTTTTGTAAGTTTGGGGGCCTTTCCCCCTGCCTTTGAATGAAATTCCCTAAGGTTTTGCCTTTTTCTGCATTCATCTTTGATAAAGTCAAAATCTACAGCCATATGGGGCTGTAGCACCTCTGTATTCATGCACAGTTGGGAAGGATTGAGTCAGATCCTTTGTTACTGGAGCACAGACTTGTATTTTGTGTTACAGCTGGCAGCAGTGAAGGCTGTTATTTCCCCTGAAGGGCTGCTGCTGTTCCTGAAGCCCACTGTAGCAATACCGCATGTCTCAGCTAAACCTGTTCTCTTTCTCTACTCTCAGTGCCCCTAACAAATCAAGCCACTTGAAGACAAATGGCTGTGCAGTGGTATAGGTGGCTAACTCGGGGCACTTCTCTTTGAAAGTGCGGGGTCTCTATCAAAATCTCAGCTGTGTTGCTCCAGATCTATTTTTGACTATTCAGCCAAACACTGGCCCTTTGACACTATGGTAAAAAAGGCATGCACACAGCCCAGCAGATTTCACAGCAGTCCCATGGGTAGGATTGAAGACTGCTCTACATCTACACGTATCGTTAGAGAACACTGATACAAATACATGTACTTATGTTTTCCCACGCATATACATAAGGGTTATTGGCCAACACTGGATTTATCTCCACTAAGTACTCAGGTTTACATGATCACAACACACATTTTGAATATGGGAGAACATAAATGGAAATTAATCCAATAATATTTCACCACTAAATAACACTTTTCCCAGAGAACCACAGGGCAAGCTCTAGCTTAGCTGTGTGCTTCCAAGGGAAAAATAATCGGTTCCTTACAAGAGAAGCTTCTCTTTCTTCCATCGCACAGATGAAATGAGGTATGTAAGTGAGGGCTAGAAAGTCCTGCTAATACTTTGCTGCTGGGAAGAGAGATCAGGATGTGAAACATGCTGAGCTCTCTGCAATGTATTTTCCACAATGGTATAACCCTTGAAAAAATTTTGCACACTGAGGAGCAAAGATGGGGTTGCAGCAGGGACGTGTAGAGACCTGTGCTACTTTCCTTGCCCCTTCTTCTTGTGGCTTGCCCTTAACTCGAGAGATATTTTTCAAGCTTGTTATGTGCCTGTATGACAGAGGGTGAAAATAATTCCATAACAAGCATTATGAATTCCCTTGTAACAAAAATAATCCTGCAAAATCCTTTTGGCATTAATGTAGATTTCATACGTACTAAAAAATTTACTCTAGAATTTAGATAGTTAATAATAGTCAGTACTAACCAGACCACTATTTTAGGGTTATTTTCATGTATTTTTACAGACAAGATATCGACCACTTTCCACTGAGTACATGAAGCAAAATCTCAGGTCAGTCAAACACCAGGATGATTAGCTGAACATTTCTAAATACTCATCAATCAACCATGATAAATCCTTAGTATTCTGCTCGATGTTGAACGCAAACACATTTTATTCCTGCTACTTGATCCTTGCATCTTCTCAAGTTGCACTGTTCTCAGCTGCTTCAAGTCAAAAGTCACCATTACGACACATAATATGTTATGGAAAGATCATCAGGACAACTTTACAATCAGCCCATTTGGTTTAGGTGAAATCCAACAAGAAATGAAAATAGTGTTCAAGGTCACACTGAATAAACTTACAAACTGTTGAGTAGGTTCTGCGTTGTTTTATAAAACAAAACTGCAAGTTCTCTATATTACATGGCTCTTGAAACTAAACATAGCTTGAAATATCAATTCACAGTATGTTTTTGAACTGTTTCCCCAGGGTTGTCTGCTTTCTACACAGAGACAGGGCAAGCATTCAAGCTGTGGGAGGTGCAATATCAGAGAAGAAAAAGCTGAGATATTTATTACACCATGTTAGGATCAAACTATAATTTTATAATTATTGTGTGAATTGTAATCACAAGCAAGCTATTTACTGTCATTACTTCGATTTGGCACACAAACACAACATGCACAAAATCTACTGTTGTCTCCTGTATTGACTTAGCCATTCCTATCTTAAAGAAAAGGCTTCTGCATTAAAAGGAATAGCTGGCAGCAGCAGATAGGAAAGCAGAACACAGTGCGAGTGTATGGGAAAAACATCTTGAGAGCAGGACTACCCACCCAGGCTTGTAGACTTTACTGCAGTGGAAGGACATGGAGGTGACTCCAATGTAGGAGCCTTCATGGTCACGCTGTCTGACTGTACACCTCTTTAGTGTAGCGTGTGGATGAAAAAAACCTCTTGAAAAGCAATTAAACTGCTGAATGTTTACTGAAGCTATGCTAGTAGATGGAACAAAAGGCTTATTCTACCAGAATAAGATACTGGACAACAATAAGGAAGGAGTTCAAAGACAAAATGAACTAAAAGATAATATTTCTCATCAAATTTCTTTTAAAAGAGGACAAAGCCTAGAATATTACAAGTCCCACATTTGCACAGCGAAATCATGTTTACTTTCATAAATTGCATCTATGCAATGCAGACTTGAGTATAAACTCTCCTGGTTCATATTTTTAATACCTACTGGTATGTGCAAATATGTACATCTGAACATTTTAAATGGAAGCCAGAATGGTGAGAAAGCATGCTTTAATAGTTTGGGAATGTGAATCCAGGTAAGTGTTTTTATTCATAGACTGGTGCTGCACTCTGTACGTGGCCTTGGACATTAATTATACCTTCCCTCTCAATTTAAAAATGAAAAGCTCTCCCTTTTTAAAAAATGAAAAGTTCTGGGAATGACATGAATATATGTCATAAGCGGACTATGAAGGGCTTGGCAATGAGAGCTATTATCAAGAGACAGAGAGATGAGACCATTGGGCAAGTCAGCATAAAAAGTTTGACAAAACAAAAGCGGTTTTCACAAAGCCTGTCTCAAAGATCTGGAGGTTTAGTTCTCTCCAATATATAATTACAGCAGAGAGTATAACCAAAGAGAAAGTTAGGTAAGCAGATGTGGTACTACATTGTGGATAAGCAGAGGTTAATAGGGTAGGGAGTAAAAACTACCTCTCAGCATTAGAATGAGAGCTCCCAAGAAAGACTGTGTATGAGTAGCTGTGCATTTGAAGGGATCAGAGACAAAAAATGCTGCTCATGAGGACAGTAGAAATTTCTAATAGAAAATAGCAACCAAACGGCAGCTAAAACTCCTTTGATACAAGTCGATAAAACTCTTCGTATAATAAGAGCTTCTAATTTCTCCAAACTTTCATTCATTCTTCATAGCAAATTCAATCTGAAAGGTTTTCCTTGACTCGTAAGTATCTAGAGAAAAGTGTTTCAATTCTGGCATCTAGACCTAACTAGAACCACCTCAAAAGCTTCAGAACATGAGAAGGCAGTTCTCCCAGTAACTCAGACAGTTAATCATGCAGTATGGCCTTATGAGATTCTCAAAATGAGCACAGCAAAAAGCTTCTCTGAATGACTCATCAAAGCTTCCAAGTAAAACTGTGGAAGAGTATAATCTGAAGTGAAACATCACTGCATTGCAAATGCTCTCATGCTTCTGACAGCTGCTGAGCTAGATTCAAGCTCTGCATCTTTTGCTTTTATTTCCTAGTAGAGCATTCTCATTTATCATCCACCTGACCACAGCAGCTTATAACAGGCCAGGTCAAACCTCACTGACTTTCATTTGAAAAACTTCACACTGATTTTAAGGTCTTTTGGTCAGATCTGATGCCTAACTCAAATACTTGCATAACTACAAACTACTTTTCCCCTAAAATTATTCTGTGATGGATTTTTATGATACATCAAGACAGATGGAGAGATGAGACCATTGGACAAGGCAGTATACTTGCATCAAACGTGATATCAAAACAGTAGATTTTTTTCTCTTTGCCACTTGTTTTATCTAGGTTTTCTTTTATACAGCAAGTGCCTGAGAAAACAAATGCTGAGTCAATACTTCTGAGATTAGATTAATATGTAACACAGCTAATGAAATTTATAGTTAAGCTGAAGTTTTGTTTTGCTGGATTTTGTTTTTGGCAGCTTGAACTGCCTAAAATCCTAATTCAATTGAAATCTACTCACAGAGCACAGCTGTTTTGCTTGGCTAAACTTTTCTCGTCCCTTAATAAGATACTTTTTTATTTAACTTTCAGTTCTGCCTAGGAGCCCCAGTGGGTCTTTTAAAACAGAAGATTATTATTAGAAATTAATTAAGTATTCTTTTCAATTCTGTCTCCTGAGAGTAACTAGGCATTGCTGCTAATCTCTGCATTAAGACATTAACCAATTTTCATTCGTAAGATGACAGTGCGAATGTCTCATCTGGAAGATACATAACTCCATAAATATGAAAGATTTGAAAGACCTTTAATAAAAAATAGAATAAATCAGTACAAATATTTAACATACATAAACACGCATTCCAAAGACAAAAAAATCCTATTGCAATTATAGGACCCTGGATTACACTTAGTCCATATTTCAGCACATTGTAGAGCCCCACTAAGCAATTCTAAGAATATCAAATGCAATTAAAGAAAAGGTAGTTGATTTGATGGTGAGTTTTTTTAAGTGATCAGTGTCTACAAAGTGTTTGTTGTCACTGCCCCACTTTCCATTGCACATGACTACAAGAAGCACAGGCTAAGGCTCCCACCTCTGATGGTGGGCTCAGCTGGCACCACCTGGATTTTTCTAAGTGAACCAAATCCAATAAGCATCAATATCCTGACGGAGTTTTTGATCCAAGGCCTTGAATGTGCATATTAATGCATTACTCACAGAATTAGCTACGCATTTAACATGGCACTTCATGCTCGAGATGGCACTTTATTCTTTTTAATTTTCAGTAAACTCAGCGGTATATGTATGACTAACTGCTGTCATGCTCTAACCAGGAATGGATGTGAAGAGAAAAAAGCCACCATGGATCAACAGAACAACAATCAATCGCTTATTCTTAATAACAATGAGGAATTCAACTTACTTTTTTGGTCTGTAGTCAGGGATGGACCTGTCCAGTGATATCCTGTCACTGAGTTGGGCATTGTAGCCATATTCTTCATACTTAGTCTCTGATTCATGGCTATCATCTCTCAGGGTAGCAGCCATTCCCCCCTGGCCCAAGCCTCCTGGGCCTTCAACTAATCCCATGGGCTTTGCCAGACCTAAATGAAAAAAGACAGGAGAAAAAATATCAAATTATTAATGTGAAGGAAATGGATCTAACCTCTTCTGTGACCACAGAATGGTTTTAGATAAACAAGATCTAAACTCACATGAAACTCAGCTCTGAAACCCTCATGGCTCTCTGAAAATTATCCTCAGCTTTTTAAACTAGAGTCCATATCAACACATCTTGTAGTACCAGTGCATGACTATCAACAAGCAAACTATAAAGAATCAATTAGCAGCTTTCACAATTTCTCCTTTTTCCTGTATAAATCCCTGGAAATAAGCATCTTGTTTCCAAACATTTCAAAGTGCCTAATTATCCTTAAGATAATGAAGATAAATTTTCCTCACAAGAACTGGAGGCCAGGCCCTTTCCCAGTATAGCCCATTATATCTCTGTTCATTTTAAGGGAGATAAATTGAATTTCTACAACATGTAAATCTGCCAGTTTAACTCCATATTAATGTCAGTTCTGGAATGAGTTCTGGAGCTGAGGCATCTGCTCTGTGGCTCTAAGACCACCTGCAGCTCTTAAATGGCTCAGGTTTTGTTCCCATGCTGGGAACACAGCTACGAGACTGGCCACCAACTGCTGCTGCATAGGAAATATAGGGTAAATCTAATTTCACTATGTGAGTCAATAGATGGGTCATTTGGACTGAATAGCACACCTTCCCACCCTGTTCCCACAAAGATGTTGTAAAACTAACAGGGAGCTAACACCTTCTCTCACTTGGGAATTACTCCAGGTTTCCTCTGTCCTTCAGATCTCTGATGAACGAAATGTGTATATTATGTAAGATACTCAGCTCTATACAGCTTATAGGATCAGAAAGTTTGGACACACTTGAGCTGAAACAATTAGCCCCAGTTGGTCAGTACTGAGATACTAGCCAGTCCAACAATGCATTTATAGGTTTCATTCACTGGTGTATTACTGGTGAACTCAAAACTACATGTAAAATGGTGAGACCCCACCTGGAGTTTTGCATTCAGCTCTGGGGCCCCCAGCATAAGAAAGTCATGGATCTGCTTGAGCGTGTCCAGAGGAGGGTCATGAAGATGCTCAGGGGGCTGCAGCACCTCCCCTGTGAGGACAAGCTGAGAGAGTTGGGGTTGTTCAGCCTGGAGAAGAGAAGCTCTGGGGAAACCTTAGAGCGGCTTCCAGTGCTGAAAAGGGGCTACAGGAAAGGTGGGGAGGGACTTTTGATCAGGGAGGGTAGTGACAGGATGAGGTGTAATCATTTCAAAGTGAAAGAGTGGAGATTCAGATTAGATATTAGTAAGAAATTCTTTACTGTGGGTGTGGTGAGACACTGGAACAGGTTGCCCAGAGAAGCTGTGGCTGCCCCCTCCCTGGCAGTGTTCAAGGCCAGGCTGGATGGGGCTTGGAGCAACCTGGTCCAGTGGGAGGTGTCCCTGCCCATGGCAGAGGGGTTGGAAATGGATGGTCTTTAAGATCCCATCCAACCCAAACAATTCTGCAATTCTATGATAAAACAAAACTAAACCAACATAAACTGTCCATATGATCACTTTGCCAAGAACACCTTCTGTGGCAGCAGGCACTTAACTGAGTGCTGAATTCTCGTAAATAAGGTCCTCAAATATCCTATATCAAAGCTTTCCTTTCCAAAAGGCTCACTATCAACAAGTCATTATAAGCAAAAAACCTATTTATAATAGTCTTGGGGACACCATACAGAAATGTGCAAATATCCTCCAACTCATTTACAATGCAGAGCAAAACAATTAGAGTTTGACCTGCTCAACATTTTTCAAATTAAGATTTTTTTTCAAGAGGAAGATGTCGTTATTTCAACTGAACAATTAAAGAGAAAGACAGAAAGAAACTGTCAACATTTGCTAGTAACAAACACGCAAGGCAGTACAAAGCTGGGACTGGCTTCTCCAAGACACAATAAGGTCTGGAACAGTTTAGTCCCTCATGAAGGAATGTCTCTTGCACCTCATTGCTAACACCATCCTTACTTGTTATAGCTCCATCATCATCTCTGCTTAATTGCAGGACAGAACAGAGAGACAGTGGTTCATTAGTGGTCTGAAAGAGTAAAGTTAGCATTTTCTACTGTAGTGCTTATGAGTAAATCCTGTACTAAGGCTAAGTGCAACACTACAAATAGTCTGAACATAAAAGGACTGAGTACTTGGGAATTTTGGTACTGAATTTCAGACATTGCCTACAGAAATACATACCTCATAGTGCAATCAGTGATCCCAAGTCAGGACAGACCTTGCTCGTGTTTGTGTTTTTGTTGTCTTCATCATGGCCCTCATCATCATGCACTGAAATGCTCAACTGCCTCAGAGTGAATCATGACTCGTAGCAGGAGAAGGGAGGGCAGAAGAAGAAAAAAAGGACGCCCTACAGAAAAACATTCTTGGCATGGCCAAGCTTTTGAAAAATTCAGACAGCTCCAAGCATTCAAGCCTAGTGAGTTGTTGAAAAGAAAGGAAAACAAGAGGCTCATGCAGCCATGGTCTCATTATAGCTGTGTGTGGGAGGTGAACTCCAGGTCTCACTAGCAAGGGAGATCGAACAGAGGCAGGAGCAGAAACCCCACAGGCCATGCACCTGTGAGGGGAAAGTAGAAAGATGAAGCCTCAAAACAGCATCTTTTTCTAGGCTATTGTATTACTAGGACACAGAGAGAAAAGACCAAAGCACTGAGCTACTGGGATTGATACTGATGCTTAATCAATAATGAACTTCTTCAGAGCTGTAAGTGAGACAAAATGCTAGGAAAAATGAAAGGCACGCTTAAGGCAAGGGAATGTGGTATCAGTAGACAGCTCTCTTCTTCAGTCAGTCACACTGACAAACTAGGATCTTGGACCACCTTTGGTGATTTATCCCCCAACATTCAGTAGCACAAAACAGAGCCCTTCTACTGTTTAATGACTACTCTTCCTCTCAGGCTAGCTATGTTGTCTTCCTCTCCCAAACATGTTTTCCTTCAGCAAGGTATGGAACTAAGCCAGAAGACAAGTAGGAAAGCACTCATGTCCTGTCTCAAACTGTACAAGGAAAATGCAAGAAACCTGTTCAGCTGGACTGAGTTGAGCCCCAACAGGATGGCAGAGTCCCTATTCCTGCTCATCAGGGAAATTTCTGGGAAAAATAAAAATATTTTTTTATTAAAAAAATCGCACAGGGTTAACGGCACAAGCCATCCTAGAGAGTTTGGACCTAATGCAACAACTGCAAAAAAGTAAGCTAAAGATTTCCAGAGATTATTATTATTATTTCAAATACATATATAGCTTTCATTCATGTCTGATATTTTTCTTGAATTCATGAAACTGTCTTCAGGTACATGCAGAAGCATTTAGAAAGTTTTTGCATGCTTGTCTCAGCCATGCTCCTCCTCTGTGCATAAGTAGAGGGAGTAAGAGTCTTGTGATCTTAGGCTGGCCACATAAATCTCTGCCCAGCTGCATTTTCAGGTAAATAGAAAACCAGAGTTGTGTCTCTGCTGTCCAAACTTCAGCCAATAGGAGCTAACTCGTGAGTCAAAATTTCCTGCCTATAATGGTAGCAACTCCTCTCTGAGACAAATTCAAATCATAGCATTATGCTGAATTGCTGCCAAGAGACACAACTGAGCATGCAGACTCCAGATAGGACTTGTGACACTAGTTGTCATTCTCTAGTGCAGTCCTGACTGTTTCTTTTTCAATTATTACAAATATTATGATGCCTACAGTTTGCTATTAATGTACAAACACACCAAAAGTTCCTACTCTGAATGACTAACATTAGCCCAATGTGATCCCTTGAAAAACAGTATTCTTGCCTCTGAAACCTGAACAGATTTACTTCATACATCACAAACCACTCTTCTTTAGTGTTCACATTTCTTTGTAGAAATGTACCTTATGAATCTTTCTTCCAGTAAAGCTAGTTAAAAAATGACGGAGAACCTTCCATTCTTCCTTGCAGCAATCATCATAAAGCAACTGGGTTAGCATCAAGTCACCAACCTGCAGCATTCTGCAGGGACAGGGAGAAACTAGCACAAAGGAGGCTCACAATCAGGAATTGTATAATCATGTTTCCAACTGGGTCATGCAAAGGAGGAAGCTGTAAGCAAAAAGTGATATCATGATATTTGGGGTATTTAAGAAGGACTATTTGAATTTTCTAATGAAACAATTTTCTGTAAGAAAAGTGAAGAATGAGACAGTCATGATTTCTGTTGAAATATGACTAAAACACTTCAAGAGTTGTGTTGCAGTTAGTGATTTAAAACAAACAGAAATTCTCTTATCTTACCAAGTGAAGCACTTCAATACACATTAAATATTTCTAAAATTATTTTAGGGAGCTTCCTTTTGAAGGAAGGTGTAATATTTGTCCCTTTTGTTCCAATTTAGGATAAGAGGCTATTTGGCACTTTGACTAGCTTCAGTATTTAAGATTACTTCCTTTGGAAAAATTATAACAGAAGGGCCTAATGTTGCAGTCCCTGGCCTGACAACTAGTCCTTGCTCAAGTAATTACAGAAATTACACGTCTGAGACTCTAAATGTCTCCACCACCCAAAATGAAAAACACAGCAGCCTAATCTTGCTGCATGATACAGTCTTAGAACTAAAAGACACCAACAGCAAGAGGTGATGCTGCATTCCTCTGTTTTACTTGTCCGATATACGGCATCTTAAAGGGAGGCTCAGTTTCAGAGAAAAGCAGTCCGTTCCCTCAGGAAAAAAAAAAAAAAAAGCACAAGCAGGCCTTATCAAAAGTCAAATTAGGCACTTTAGAAGTTAAAGAATCCAGAAAACTAGACACTTCATGAAGCCTATATCCTTGAAAGACTGCAACGTGGAAATTCAGTTGCCGATCATTTGGAATCATCTGGGCTGGATTCTGATGTTACATCAAAGCAAACTGATGACGACTTCATTAAAGTCAACTGACCCGCTTTGATGAAAGGGTCTCCAAGATGTGGCGTGCTCATTTGACTTTAA